ATTCCAAGTCCAGGAAATGTTGGCTTATCCCCACTATTACACCTCTTACACAATTTGTAGCCTCATGACACTTATGAATAAAATATGTTCAATCAGGACAGTAAGCATAAAGCAGAATAATAGATTGAAAAGCAAACCATTGCATCTGCTGTGTAAGATCATAAATTGCTATTGACATGAGAATAAAACGTAAGTCACTGCAAAGCATTTCTAAGCATTTCTAAGCATCGTTCAGGGCTGAATCGAGGCCACATAGCTCGTGTTACATTTGCACGGCATGCTATATCTTCCTTGTAAGTCTAGAACTAAATTCCAGGCAAACTCAAGGACAGTATTCTCAGCTCCCAAAGCTGTGCATGTTAAGAAAAACTTGAGGAAGATTATATGTTTTTGTAACACCTTTCCCTCTAGCCATTCAAAGGAGAGCCACACTGCAGCCTTTTTGCTTAAGCACCCCAGCTGGCATGGGAGGCAGAGAACAAAGCATCTTTCATTCTTGCATTACTGGTTGAAAGTCATATGGATTTAGCTAGCTCAATACAGCAGCTCACACACACAAATAAAACATCAAAGCCTCCTTAGACACCTCACTGTACTTGGACTCTTTTAGGCAAGCACTGTGTCACTATTCCTCTGCAGCCCAATGTATAAGGACCAGTGACAGAATGGACACTTACTAGCACATTGCCTGTGTGCCGCTGGAAACTGCCAACTAGGTCCTCTAATATTCAGTGACATCAGCAAACTAAATGTTCAGACTCGACGGAAATGCCCAGGGTTTACCCTGAAGCCCTCTAAATATTTCCATGAGCATCAACTACCATCACATAAAGCAGGGATGGTGGAGAATAGGAAACCCATGCTGTTCGGCTTCTTTCTTTAGTCTTCTAATAACTAATGGGTACTGAGCTATAAGGAGACATAGATTATGTCTTTAAATCCTCATAAGGCCTTGAGTTGGGTACCATCCACCCCCCTTACAGGTAAGGAAACCTAAGGGGTATAGAGATTGGAAAGCTAGCTCAAGAGTACACAACTAACAAGTGGCAGCAGGACAATTTTATTACGCTATGCTGTCTTTGAAACTTGATGTTTATACTAGAATTCTCAGTGTAATCATTGTGGAGTAAGATAAAACATTAATTTAGCACTTACCATGGTGCCTTCCACATGGTAAGCAACAAGCAATGTTCATACTTAGGGGAGACATTTCATAATTCACAGCACCGATTTCAATGTTGCTTAGACAAATGAACATTAAGGAAACAAATATGATTTAAAATGAACATTAAGGAAACAAATATGATTTATCTTTTTTGATGAAGGAGTCAATCATACAACACACAAATATCTAATAACAGCTGGTTGCAGAAAAATATTCTAAAATGGTTACTACAGCTAAGACGACACAAACTGTTTCCAAGTATTTGGAGCAGTATAAATAAATAGCACTATTTTACCCACACAACAAATAAAATAAGTTGAACAAAAAGCTTCACATGATGGCTTATAATGAATACCTTTCTATCTCAATAAATATGCTACCATCAAAAAACTGAAAAAAAAAACCCTCAAGTAGTTGCATGATTTAAAATTTCACTTTAATGTCTAAAATTATAAAGTCTCAAATGAAATATTGTCTTAATGAAGTTTGAAGTTTAGCACCTACTGAAGTATCTTATGTATAGAAGACATCTGCAACCAGTAATTGAATTCATAAATACACCTTTAAAGACAGACATTGCCCTTTTGTTATGTTTGGTTTTTTCATATTCCATGATGCTGGTTGCATGTCATTTCCTTATTGGTAATATTTTCTTAAAAGAAATCCCATGATCTCTAGTTCAAACAGAGGAGAAGAAAAAATACCATCAGCTTGAAGGGGAAAAGGAAATAACTGGCCAAAACTAATGAAGAAGAAAAATGAAGTTAGGTCTTGTGGTGAGCCATGAGGTATAAAGAGAAGAGCTGTCTTCCAATCTTTATTAACATTTGAGAAAATGTAAAACTGTTGTCTAGGTAAGAGCATAAGGACACTTGATATAAATTTATGCATTTAAGCCACTGTGACTGGTGAAAAATAAAGGCATTTCCTAGTACATATAATTCATATAAACAGGTAAACACAGACCAAGAAAATACCTCTTTCTCAAAAGTATTTAATGGCCTGGGTTACCATGGGGCTCAATATTGAATCAATATACACCCAAAAGTAACCATTCTTTAAAGGAACTTTAAAAAACAAATATGAGCATAAAATACAAATTACTTTAGTTATTTCCATATAGTAAAATCTTAGATTAAATCCACACTGGCAAAACTGTTTAACAAACTTCTACCCCATTTAAAAGAAAAATAAATAGGAGAGAAGTTAATGAAAAATAATGATTTCTAGCAATATTTTTTACATTGTTTCAACAAAGCTGTGTCCTTTCACGGAGAGCAAACTTGAGGATCCTGAGAACACACCCTATTCATTAGGGAAATCAATAGCATTACCTGCCCCAGGTGGCTAAAGCTGCTTTTTGCATAAGGCTTTTATCTCATTTTAGCAACACAGGGAAGGAAAACAAACAAACAAACAAACAAACAAAAAACAGGAGGTCTATAACCTTGGTGTTCACCATTACTCTGGCTGATTACTTAATCAATTTGCTAACAGCACAAGCAATGTGGCTCACTTTGACAAGCTTCTTCAGGGGGTTCTGCCAAACTGTAAAGCTGATGGCTAAACAGTCTCACTGTACTGAGCATCAGATAAAGTAGGCCCTTAAAATAAAAGCAGTGCTACATTAAAGAGACATACAGCCATAATTTTTTGAAAGGAGAAAACTGAGGTAGTAATATTCTCAAGGAATAATAGGATAAATCTAATACATAGAAAAACAAACCAAATGACTATGATTTGAGCCTTTAAAATCCACCATACATTTGTGTAACATTTCTATAGATAAAACATGTGAGATGTATTAGAATAACTGAGGCATACACATAAAATATACCAAACCATGGACTTTTCATAAAAATTAATTTGCTCAAATGGTAGTAACAGTAGAAGACAAAATATTCACACCTGAAAATAGTACATATTAAATGGCCTTACAATCGGATCTGGTACTGTAAGAAATCTGCAAGAAATGCAGACTGCTGCTAGCTGATTCTATTTATGACAAAACACTTTCAAAAAATAGAAAAATGTATTGCCTTGATTTTGACTATGCAAACTAATTTTAAAGCCAAGCATCGGTCAGTAAAAATGAATTTCAGTAGTTCTAATGATCCAAATGACTTTTCAGAGTGTAGGGAACTTGACTCTACATATCGGCACATAGACTTTTTTTTATGCTTTAGAAACATTTTTTTCACATTTATGCACAATATACACTACTTAAGACAAAACTTGGCCATCAGATCTGCCTTTGCCTATATACTTTCTTCGCTTTTTGGGAGGCCCATCAATCTATGGTGTAGACACAGGCAAAAGAGAAATAAATTTGGAGTCTGAGCCACATAATCAGGAACAAACTAATCTTAAAAGGAAAAGAAACCAAATGCTAAAATTTGAAAGGAAAACAATTAGCATAATATTTTCCAGAGTAGTTTTTCACCATTCCACTTTTTTCATTGTTTTAAAAATGTCTTGTTCCTAAGGAGAAGACTTGATTAGGGGATGAAGCTGAAAGATTCCAAAAACTAGAAAGAGATTTCCACTGAGGTCTCTCATTTTCCATCTGTTACTAAAGTTTCTGCACTTGTACTCAAAAGCAAATGGGGCGCGGGGCAGTGGGGCAACAACCTGGAAGGAAGCCCCCTGTCGTTTACTTTCTGATTGGGACTTTTTACTTCTACCTAATGTGCTCTTTCTAGTGCTCTCTCTCCATCTCCAGAGAAACACGAACATACATGCAAACATATCACTGTACACATAGGTTCAACACCACTGCAGAGAGGAGTCACGAAAATGATAATCAGAACAGACGACTCTTAACAGTGAGAAATAGGTATCCGCTAACGCTCGCTTGAATTCCTCCCTAAACCACCTATTCGTCCACATCTATTCTTTAACCAGGAATTTAGGAACAAAAAGACAAAAACAAAAAAACAAAAAAAAAAGGGGAAAAAAAAAAAAAAACAGGTCACATCAAAGGAAGAGAAAATCAGAACTTTCACTTTTCGGGGGCATTACAAAATGAGCAGCGGGACCCGGCTGCGCAAAAGTGCAACGTTAGTAAAGAACGCAAGCCCAAACTCTAGATACCCAGTTAAGCACCTTGTTACCGAGAAAAGTAAATAAAAAAAAAACAAAAAAAAAAGGGGAAAAAAAAAAAAAAACAGGTCACATCAAAGGAAGAGAAAATCAGAACTTTCACTTTTCGGGGGCATTACAAAATGAGCAGCGGGACCCGGCTGCGCAAAAGTGCAACGTTAGTAAAGAACGCAAGCCCAAACTCTAGATACCCAGTTAAGCACCTTGTTACCGAGAAAAGTAAATAAAACTGGCCATTGTCATTAAGAATAAGAATAGTAATAACAATTGTCACCGCGGCGTTCCGTACAGCAGCTGCAGGTGGAGCGGCTTCTCCTCCTGCCCCACTGCCCGCAGCCTCCCCAGCAGCCCCGCGCCTCGCCCG